ATAACAATATGTGGAAAGATGAAATTCTAATGTGCAATAGATTTCGACGCACAGATGGGCAAGTCAGTTATTCTTTTTACTCAAGTCAAGTTAAACCACAAATCAATTCTCAAGTCAATCTTTCTTATTTTACAAGCGCTATTCAGATTTACTATGATGAAAAAATGGACACTTTTCTATGTAGTATGTATGGTGAAAAGAATAGAATTTGATAGCGAAACAAAAAATATGACTTTACGTTATGTGAAACTTATATGAGTTTTAGTCACAAAAAAAAAATATTTGCCCTGACTCGTATTTTGTTTTGTTGGGTCACAAGTCAAGTCATAAATGACTTGACTGGACTTGCCCATCTCTATTTCGACGTCTAATGCATAAAGAGTGCAAAATAAGTTTTGATACCCTCTTGCAATGCTTTTTTCTCACATATTTTCATGCCGATCCAGTCTCAATATTTATAGTGTACATGCTAGATGTCTAGCTCTATTCTATGCTAGAAATTGAGTTTGTATTTTTATTGTTACAGAGATATAAGCATTACCAAAATTATAGGAATTTTTAAATTATAGTGGACTATTTTATCCATGAAAAAACTTTTAGTCATTCGGCCACGCACTGCACTATAAGTGATTTTTAGTTTCCTATCTATAACTCTTGCGTTCTGTCATTTGTACACGTCGTTGTGAATAAGAGAAAAATATACAGTCGCTTTTTCTTTGGTGATCATAACGTGCAGAAACAACGGAACATACGAATGAATCACATGCAGAGACAAGATAAGTCTAGTTTCGACTGAGTGAATTACTAGATAATTACCGATTATCTCAATCACTTTACAGTTTTCTTCTAGATTCTATATAATATTAGTCTGAATCGATGTGAAAATATGCATGAAAAGAATATTGCTAGATAGAATCAAAACTTCTTTTTCATTCTTTATCGATAAACGATTTTCAGCATCAGATAAAGCTCGTCGAGTTCTACTCAGAATAGATGAAAATAGTATTGGAACATGTTCTTAGACTGATCAACCCTGAAAAAGGACGATTCTGGGCCTAATACAACCTGCGTTGTTTCTTTTTAAGATACAACAACACAAACATCAAACCGAACATACAACGTAAAATAAAATTTATTTTACTGCTATGGCGTGTATTCTGCTTGCGTTTTAAACCATTTTTTTTCTTCTCTTTTGAGTTTTTCTTTCCTCTCGTGGCCTTTACTGTATTTCATTGCTTGACTTTTTTCTTTACTCTTTTTTTCCGCTTATTTCTTTTGCTTGCGAGTGTCTATAGTCTTGTGAATTAACCTTCAGCACTTGTACATATTTCTTTCTTGATAATCGCTGCACAATTGACCAAAATGTCGAAATAAATCAGTTTTCGTTAAAGTCGATGTGATTATGCCATTCATAGTGAAATCATTCACTTTTGTTTCTAACCGATTTGTGTTCCTTTTTGACCAGTTATTCTTGATTCAGTAGAATATGCCTTCTTTTATCTATTATCATATGCGACTCTGTGAAGCAAAACACATGAAAGGTGAATTACGATGTGCGCCAATCAATTAAATATTTTGTTCGGATTCGGCCTCCAAATATGTACGTTACCCTCGTTCTCTTTTTCTTTTTCTACTCATTCTTTTTCTTTCTCGACATATTTCTTGTTTTTTGTAAAAAATATTGCAAGACCTTGAATTAGTAATTGCATGCTTGTTCTTCAAACTTTAGAAAAAGTGTATGCACATATTACTTTTTTGCTTATCTTTTTACATAATTGCAAGAAGGTAGGGACACGATTTACATATCGAATAGCATTGATTTCTTTTGCAGTATTTATATTAAAGATATTTTAATTCCATATCATACAAGAGCAGAAACTTCGATATCAAAAACATGTAATGGAGGTATTCTCGATTTATAAGAAACAAAAACAACGAAGTAGCCTAATTATAAAAATTGATTTAGCATACGATTATTTATGAATGGTCACATACTACTGTACAAAAAGTCAATGCATAAGAATCGAATAGTACAAAATCTCTTCCTATGAATATCTCTTGATGAGGAACACCTCCATACAGCGAATACTCTGAACTCATGCCTAACTATTTCTACTAGAAACAAATCTTTCCATAGTCAACATCATTATATTCTCAGCTGTGAAAGTCTGTTTATATTGCTGCGGCACAGAATGACCTTTCTAATGCGAGTACTTTCTTCCGCTCTCCTTGAAGTCGAGCAGGTCATCATGTATACTTGAAAAAAAGAAAATGGTGAATAATTCAGAGAGCATACTCTTTTTACCTTGAAAGTGCATGAAATATCACTCTGATTTTTTCTATTTATACTTAACACAAAATCAATAGAGAAGTTATGTTTTACAGTCTGAAAGAACTAGTCAGTACTATTTGGTTCTAGAAAAGGCGATACAACTAATAGGAAACGATGATGCATGAAACTGTCTTAGAAATCCCACTATCGGATTGAGTCTGTTTCAAATATGCTCAGATGGAAACTAGAATACATATTGGACTATGGAATGAACCAAAATAAAGATACCAAACTGAAACTGAACGATGATATGGTGTGTGGGTGTGGGTGTGGGGTGTGGGTGTGGGGTGTGGGTGTGGACGTGGGTGTGGGTGTAGGTGGGTGTGGGTTTGGGTTTGGGTGTGAGTGTGGGTATGGGTGTAGGGTTTGGATTTTGCACATGTGTACGTTTTCGATTCATAGCCACATCAACACCCACACCCACATCCCATACACACCCACATCAACACCCACACCCACATCCCACCCCCCCCCCACCCCCACCCCCCACAACACCCACCCCCCCCTCCCCCCCCCAC